TGTTTCTGCCACTCCCTCAATCCTTTAATCTCCAGTTTGAAAAATGTTTCTAAAAGATAAATTATCAGTCCTTCGGTTTTAAAATCCTGTGGGAATAAAAAAGTCCTTGCTTGCCAGTGGAAGGACAGCAAATAGGAGGCCATTCTGACTTTTCTGGAAAGGGAGTTCCAGAGCCTAGGGGCCATCATGGAGAAGATCCTGCCATGCATCCCCACTAACTATAACTGGGAATGTGGTGGAACTAAGGGTCTCTCCTAAAAGTGTCAAGACCCAGGCAGGCTCATACAAAGAGATATAGGGGGGTTGCAGACTGCCAGAAATAGTGCAAATTGAGTCCACTTTTAGGGTTAGGGTATCATGGGAACTGTATTTTATTGTGGTACCAGAGCTCTCTGACAGAGAAGGCTCAATGTCTCAGAAAAAAAAAAACAGTTCCCATGATTCCCTAGCACTAACCCTAACCCTAAAAGTGGACTCAATTTGCACTATTTCTGACAGTCTGCAACCCCCCATAGTCCTTTAGATAGCCTGGACCTGAGCAGTATGTCATAACTAGCACTTCTAATATGTCTGGAAAACATGCCCTATAAGGAGAGGCTTAGGGAGTTGGGTATGTTTAGTCTGGGGAAGAGAAGGTTAAGAGGCGGTATGATAGCCCTGTTTTAAGTATTTGAAGGGGTATCATATTGAGGTTAGAGCAGGGGTAGACAACCTTTTTGAGCCAGGGGCTGGGTTGCTGTCCCTCAGACAATTGGGGGGCCGAAGCACCATAAATAAATAAATAAATAAATATTTTTTTTAAAAAAAAATAAAAAATGCATGCACACTCTCTCAGTCCCAGAAAAGCCATGGCAAAGCCCTGTGGAGATTTTGCCAAGAAAACCCCAAGAACAAGTAATAACAACAATAATCAATATTATCATAGCGGGGGGGCGGCAGCGGTGGCAGGACTGGCCTGGGGCCGGTCCAAAGGCCTTGGGGGGGGCCACATCCAGCCCCCAGGCTTTAGGTTGCCTACCCCTGGGTTAGAGCAAGCTTGTTTTCTGCTGCTCCAGGGAATAGGATAAAGAACAATGGATGTGAAAAAGAAAAGAGATTCCACCTCAACATTAGGAGGAACTTCCTGACTGTAAGAGATGTTTGACAGTGGAATACGCTCCCTCGGAGAGTGGTGAGGTCTCCTTTTTGGGAGGTTTTTAAACAGAGGCTGGGTGACCATCTGTTAGGGGTGCTTTGATTGTGAGTTCTTGCATGACAGAGGTTGGACTAGATGACCCTTGTGGTCTCTCCCAACTCTATGATTCTATTTATTCAGGCCTTATAGTCCAAATCTCAAGTCTATCTACAAGTGTTAAGTCCTTGCAAGATGCTTTCAAGTCAAGTTGCAAGTTTACGAGCCAACTTTTAACAGAAATAAAAGGGGGCAGGATGCACTTCTCAGAGGGAACAGCAAGTGTAAGACAATGGGCTTAAGACAAGGGTTGAGGTCTGCTTGGCATTCTGCCTGTGCTGCACATTAGAGGAGCCTTCTAAAGCTTTTGAAAAGCTTTAAAAGGATCCTTCTGCCTCAAGCCCACTGCTTAATGCATTTGCTGTTCCTTTCCAAGAAATGCACCCTGCACTTTGGAGGGCAGATCTTGCCTGCTCCTTGAAATGAATGGCACCAGCAAGTCAGTCACTAAAAACATACAAGTCTCAAGTCAAGTTAAACCAGTGTGTCATTTTTGCTCAGTCAGGTCATTGAAGCGACTTGAGTCCAACTTCAGTCTGGATAATTGACTTGGGTCTACATCACTGCTTTTCATTCTGCTTGGAAATGGACCAGAAGCCAGTGGAGCTTTTGGTTCTACAAATCCCTCCTAATTGCATTGGAGATTTCCGTCATATGTTTCCATGTGGATTTGTTACTTTGACAAACGGTTGTATAACTGAGTGCTAAATAGTTTGACATTGTATGCCTAATGCAAAAATTATGATGCTCAAATGGTTTGGAACAATTCCCACTTGCTTTTTGTGTGTATTCAGAATCCTTCTTCTTGATTATACCATCTACGCAGAGTGCAGGAGACTAATGTTTTGCAAAGGGAAAGCAGTCCATGGCTGTGCTGGTGGTGGTGGGGATTCTGGGAGCTGCAGTCTAGAAAACCAGCTTTTCAAAGCTCTATGCATGATCCATATGATGGTATGAAGAGAGGCATTCATGTAGCTTCTTCTGACTTTGCATACTTTCTGCAACTGTAGATGGAACCTGGCTAATTGAAAAATAATAGCTTTGCTTTCTGGTGCCTGAAAGCTGTGTATGCTAGATAAATTCATGTTTATCACATGTGACCACATTCCTAAGGTGTATGTGCTTTTTTGAACACAACAGTGCCATTTCTAGGCAGAATGTCACATATACAGTGGTGAGCAAGATGCCTACGGATCAAAAATCCCCTTCAGAAAGTTTGCTGAAATCTGTGCCTGATCTTTTTTCAGAATTTGGTTCCAATACTGCCTTTTGGCAGCTGGTAGCAGGTAAAAAAATTGCAGATGATGTGCTCTAGAAACTCATCTACCTTTTTCATTCATTCATTTATTTATATCCTGCATTTCTCCCAAGATGAAAAAGTTAAAATGAAACAAAATAGGTTAAAACAAAATAGAGCTAAAACTATCTAGAATACAAAAGTTAAAAACTTCTAATAAACTAAGGCTAGCAGACCTTGTTGAGATATTTCTACTAGGATGACATCAGTTTCCTTTTACTTTTTTACTTCCTTGAATGTAACAGCTGTTTCATTATTTTACTGAATTATTCTCGTAGTAGTGTAAATGTAGTTATTTTAATCTGCTAGTTTGCAACTTTTATCTCCCTGTTGTTTTTTTAACTGAGTAGCTTGTTATATTTGTTATCTCGGGTTGTTGATTTGCTGATCTTTGACTGTGATAAAGTTGCATGTGTATGTAAAGTTGAAAAAGAGATCAAATTAAAAACATTAATTTAAAACAATTTAAAAACCATTTAAAACATGACCACGAAGAGTAAGTACAGCATACCCCATTAAACTTTAAACATGTTGTAATCCACTTTAAGTCCCATTTAAGAAGAAAGGCAGGTAATAAATCAGATAGATAGATATATTCTTCTGCAATGGTTATTTAAATAAAATTGTGTTTGTTTGCTGGCAGAAGGATAGGAGAGAAAGAGACCAACCTAGCATCCCATAGGAAGGAATTACATAGTTTTGGGAGAAGCCACCAAGAAGACTCTTTCCCATATCCTTGTGAAATGTGCCTTTAATGGTGAAGGAACTGAGATAAAGTCCTCAAAGATCTCAGAATGCAGGCAGATTCATATACACACATCCCATTGTCACTAGGGACCATCCCATTGTCACTAGGGACCATCTTCACAAGTGATTCCCAAACTTTGGTCCTCCCGATGTTTTGGACTTCAGCTCCCAGAATTCTCCTCTTCCTCCTCCTCCTCCATCTTTATCTTCATCA